GTATAGCATTGAAATATCCACTTGCGACAAATCCGTTTAAATGTAAAAAAATAAGCATGACCAACCAATCTATCAAAAGAAACAAAGACACAAATCCCCCTCAAGTCAAAAGCGAGGGTCAAATTACAAATTGGTTGACAATACAAATTTTCGGATGTGGAAAAAAGGTTGATTTTAGAATGATTTCCATCGCAGAATTACCAAAGTTCAATCCCATCTCTGGTCTGTGATCCACAGTTTGCCTCGTTTAAGTGGCTAGCTTCACTTCACATTGCTCCCATTTTGCCCAAACTCCACGAGAGTCGCACTCGTGTTGTCTAGGCTCACAAGCATGGCGATGGTAGGAGTGTTTGTGCATTCCACTCTTGAACCGAAGATCCTGTATTCCGATCCCGTTCCATTTGCATTTAGAGCATTGAAACTACATTCCAGGCTGGAGATAGAAACATACTTTTTGGGCAAATGAAAAGGTGGCAGACAATGAAAAATCAACTCGTATCTTCAATTCGAATTTACAAAAACACAATCTATCTTGATTCGCATCCATCGCGAGAGGAGTGTATAGGGTCAAATCGTGTGTTTCCAAGTCAGCATACTCTTGACGCCTCGAGATCGAGTCCCGGTGTGAATGCTGCCGCTGCTGCTGGAGCTGCTGGGCTGGAGCGAATCTCTCGATCAGACCGGGTGATAGTGCATTTGTGGGACACGTGGCACACTCAGACGTAGGACTCTCAACCAACTCGCGGCCATTTCAACTGTCAGACCGCGGAAACACCAAACGTCCAGACTGCCTTGATCGGGCCAAGGGAACAATGGGAATAGTAACGAAGAGGGCAGCAACCAAACTGGCCCTGGCACCAGCAATCCGGGCGGCAAGAGAGCAAACACTCCGACAAACAACCAGGTCACCAGGACACCCATATCATAGTTGCTTTTTTAACCACAATACTGCCTGCCACGTGATCGAGCCAAGACTTAGCAACTGTCACTGAGGCACCAAC